TATAATATCTTAGCTGAAAGTTCAGTGAATTAAATACAAAATCCTTATTTTATACCTAAAGACTTGGTGCTGACACGCAGATTCTTGAAAAAATCCTGCAGCCGTGGAAAGGTCGTCTGAAATTCTGGTTCCTGCAGCAGGTCCAGTAGTCTCTGAGATGGTCCAGGACCTCTCAGACGGATGTGATCCAGTAGTTCTGCCACCTTGTCACTTGTACCAGACGAGCTGCGTTTTATCTGATCGTAGCCTCTGTCAGTAATCAGACCTCGAGTATGTGCGTGCTGCAGAACTAACTGTAGGTCCAACTGGAGGATTTCCATCAGATCCAYTTTGTGGACTCTGAGAAATTGGACTGGACCTGGAGCTTCCTCAGCCATGAAAAACCTACGTTTCTGGACAATTCGTTAGAAAATTTTTAACGTTTTGTTAGAATCTGCAATTAAAACAGACAGAAAATCAGGTTAATTAACAGGAATAAACAGAACATAAAGTTACAGTGGGATAAAGAGAATTATTAATGTTAACTGAAATGGTAAAATACTTTGTTACAGTAGTTTATGTCATATCTGTGACGTGTTCCTTCACYAGCAGAATGGACACTATTTTCCTTCATGCCTTCACGGTCTCTTATGTCTTATCTTATCAAACTTTACTAAACGCTCCAAACAAACTTTCAATTTCAACAAGTGTTGTTTTAAACAAGTAAAATACACGTTCTTACCACTTGGACTAAGGACGGAGCGACAGATAAACAACTAGCTGCTTGTTCGGTTTCGATTCAGCTGCTGGTATGATGAAAAAAAAAACTCAGGATGTTCTCGATTTGGTTTTTCCCGCAAACTTCCTTCTGCGCATGCGCGCTGCTTGTTAGAAGGCTGCGCATGCGCGGCATTAGGCGTCGTCCTCAGCCGCCATATTTGTAGTTCTGAACTATTTTCTGAGAGTTTTTCCACATGAAGTCGTGTTTTCAGTGATTTCTGAGGCTGAACACAACACTGTGTTTAATACACAACACAAGCTCTGTGAGGACTCACTTTCAGGACAGGATCACTGGTGTGTGTGTCTGTGTGTGTCTGTGTGTGAACAAACTGAGCAGTAACAATCAGAGGCACAGGTGTGTCAGAGTTATCAGGTTTTATGTCTTTAATCTTTGTTTTAAAAAGACAAACATGAAGTTTTAAACACTTTATTGTAAACAATCATCAGACAGTTTTTATCACAACAACACATTTAGAAATGATCAGAACAGGTGGAGAATATCTGATAAATATTAGATTTATATTAATTATTGATCCAGTCTGATGATTAATTTTATTTATTTCACCACAAATATCTGATGTTTGGAATCAAACTGGTCAAAGTTTGGTCTCTTTCATCAACAAACAAACAARCAAACATCCACAATAACACAAGCAAATTCAAAATAAATATCTGGCCACGCCCCCTTTCTGCTCCCAGCAGCCAATCAGAGCTGAGATTGGACTGGGGGTCATGGTGTTTGTTCTGTGGGGTTGTTGGGGGTGGTCAGAGGTCAGGTGGGGGGGCGGGGCTCCTTATGTCACCATGTACTCCTGTCGCTTGTTGAGGCGCACCTGGCACAGCGAGACCGCGCCCACCGCCACGTAGACGGCGGCGGCGATGAAGCAGTTGAAGCCCACCTGGTTGTAGAGGCTGTAGATCTTCCCAGGTGGGTTTTCACTGTGGGAAAGGTCAGACATTAGTAATGGATCAGGTCAGACGTTAGTAATGGATCAGGTCAGACATTAGTAATGGATCAGGTCAGACGTTAGTAATGGATCAGGTCAGACATTAGTAATGGATCAGATCAGACATTAGTAATGGATCAGGTCAGACATTAGTAATGGATCAGGTCAGACATTAGTAATCGATCAGGTCAGACATTAGTAATGGATCAGGTCAGACATTAGTAATGGATCAGGTCAGACATTAGTAATGGATCAGGTCAGACATTAGTAATGGATCAGGTCAGACATTAGTAATCGATCAGGTCAGACATTAGTAATGGATCAGGTCAGACATTAGTAATGGATCAGGTCAGACATTAGTAATGGATCAGGTCAGACAT